TGCAAGTCCAGCCGACAGATAATGAGGAAGATGCTGAGCGTGATGATCCTGCCAGAGCCAAATTTAGCGCTTAAGTCTGAGCTCAGACAGATCTTTACTTTCCACTTGTGTCGATGGATCAACAGAAGACTGTTATTTGAAAACAGCCAAGTTAGTTTAGATTCAACTCTTGCATACTCATTTATTGAATCCAGATTAAAGGCTGTTAATGTTATTGTGGACTAACAAATGGTGGGGATTTACTGTCAACAACAGCACAATTAACCACATGTGCAAATAGGTTGGACACTCCCATATTGAAAGGGGAATTTTGCATGTAATAAATCAAAACTTTTTTCAGGGGATTTACAACCCACATAAACAAGTCCCCTGGTTTTATGCAGTAAAAGTGTCTCTTTTCACCCCATGTGGCACTTTATGTGTGAATTGCTCTATACATGTGTCTCATCCACATGTAATACCATCATATACTGATGCCGGATGGAAGGAGAATAGAGTTCAAGTATGTGGACAAAACATCCAGACGTTTTTACAATTGACCTTTCGCCGGCCTCAGAGCCATATAGAGAGAGAGTTGCGACAACGGAAGTTCTAAATGCTTGGTTGTCGCGTGATTCGCGGAGACCTCAGATAGTTCCAGGAAGTGCTTCGGCGCCAATTCAAATCGATGGAGGTAGAGAGCTGAACTGTGATTTTTGGTAGTTTGTAGTCAATAAATGCGTTGGTTTACAATATGTATATAATACATTGACATTTGGATGTAGTATGTGTATGTAATTACAGCAATATTGTTTTTAAAAGATAAAAATCCGCTGATATTTAATGTTTATTGTGGTCAACCAGTGTTGCCTGCCTTCGTTAACATATTTTCTGGCTAACTTTACCTTGGTTAAAGACCGTTTTGCAGTTGTTTTGAAGTATTTTTGTGTTCTTAAACTTGTATGTTATTTAAGGGTTATCATGCAGGAAACAGGTGATTGTCTTAAAAAGCCATTGCAAACAAGTAAAATGTAAAATTGCATTCATCGTAATGTTTACAATGCTTATGCACTTATTACTATATAAATTAATACATAATATATTTCATTTTAAAACAAAACATGATTATACACACACACACATACATTATTTTCTAAGTGTCCAAGTACATTATTTCCTTAACATAATTTGATAAATTCATGACATACATCACTTTAATCTATAAAACCTATTTAGTTTAAATTCATTTTTAGTACATTTAGATAATACATATTTTATGTTTTGTTATCTTAAACCCCCCAAAATGTCAGGTTGTGTAACTGTCCGCACAAATGAACAGACTAAAATACTAATTTAAATGGTGTTTTAATCATAAAAAAATAAAAATAAAATTCTATGGCATCATTTTAACCTTTCATATTTATACATTTCAGTAGATTTATAGCTGATTATTGAAAACCTTTTGTCTAACAATTTGTATGTCAGGGGGGCACAACTGCAAACATGGCTCTCTTATTATGGTAATAGCAGTGTGCATGATAATGCATTGTCCAGAGGAGCCATAATGATCCTTGTAGATCTCTATCAAATACTGGTAATTGCTTTAAAGTTATGGGTAGGTTGGTACACTTTCAGGTGAATTTAAACACTTAGAAATGTTCACAACTGAAACTTGTTCAAATACATTGTTCATGACACAAAAATATACATTACATCAGTTTTGAAAAGATTTAAAAAAACATTTCTTTGTTTATTTGTCAATGACATATATATATATATATATATATATACCGGTAGGTCATTGACAAATAAACAAATAAATGTTTTTTTTTTAAATCTTTTCAAAACTGATGTAATTTGTTTATTTGTCAATGACATATATACACTTTTGCAATGAATTAGCACAATGGGATTTATAAATGTCTAATAAACTGCACGTCAAGCATGTTGTCTGGCCTTTCCTCTATGTTGTCAGACAGAAAATATGCTCAAGTCAGGAGCAATCTAAATAGAACTAAACATTTTTTGTGCTAATTATACTTAGGTGTATCTGCACTTTTTCCACAAAGACCAACACTGGGAAGTTTAATGTTTATTAAAAATAGGGAGCAAGTAAAGTCTTGCAAAATCCAAGGAGCTGAGACTGATGAGGGTACAGCGTCAGTGCAGGAGTCTTCAGGATCCACCGAATCCTCTTTGTGCTTCTCCCTTTCCCATCAATACAAATCAGCTGAGCTAAATCATAATATAGACAGGTAATAGTCAACAGAAACACAATGAATAAAAAACGCCAACCATACGTTTTTCCTTACTCAAATATGAAATCTAAAATAAGGACTTTTCCCCGTTATTGCACATTTAATATGGAATGAAACCGATATTCTCATTTTATCAATTACAACTATCACACTCCCCAATGTTATATTTAACCTCTGTTTAGAGGTATTTCCCTCTTATTATACAACAAAGGATAAACATGCATTAATAGAACGGGTTACATTAATATGCTGTTCGTGGTTTGTTATGCGGTAGTTACTAACTTTATCCAATGACCTTTATTTTACCTGATAACGTCCCCTAAAACTACTAATTTAGAGAGCAATAATCAACTAGCATGCTTTAATACAGTTAAAGTTACAAGTTAATTTGATTCAGATGTACTGATAATATACAATCTTATTCTTTAAACGTCTTACCTTTTAAAAGTGCATCACAAACGGTCTGTTCTGCTGTAACTCTACCGCGCTGCTGCTACTTCCGGGAACTATTAAGAGGCTCCGCGAACCGCCATTGCTGTAAAAAAAACGTTCCATTGGAGTCAACGGAGTTGTCGCAACTCTCACTCTATATGGCTCTGGCCGGCCCCTCCCCCAAAACGGCCATTGTCCAATCACACATCATAGCAACCGTTAATATGTGAGCAGGTCCGTCAAACATTGACTTCTAGCAAGATGGTGAAGCGGTGCGCCTACGGCGTTTGTAAATCGGACACTAGATCCCCCGAGAGATTGTCTGGAGGAGTTGTGTTCTTTCCGTTTCCAAAGCCGAAAACACAACGTGAGCGGTGCCTACAATGGATCAAACAGTGTGGACGGCCCCACTCCCAGTTACATGTGTCGGACATGGTTAACCCGTGCAGTGTGCGTGAGACTGAGACACTGAGATTAGTCAAAGACACATGGAGAAAGCAGATCAAGAGGATCCACAAAGGAATGACGTTTTCTAAAGTGTTGTTGTTAACATGATATTCTCGGGGGAAATGAGCAGCAGAGCAGCGCCCGTAGACTACAGTTTAGAGGAGTGCACGCTCGCAACGTGGAAAGCATGAAGCTTACTTGACAACATCAGTTCATATATCAATATCGTAACGAATAGAAATAACCTTAAATAATGTATGGTTATCTGCATCTTTCCGTCTCTTATGTATAGTTACTTTTTAGTTCGCCTATAGCAATCGCCGGTGTGGTGAATGTCGCTACTCGATCCGTACCGGAAACACGATCTGTACTGCGCATGTGCGAGAACGCGTCTCCTTCCGGTCTGATGTCGAAACCATTTACGGCAGTTGTTGTTCGACAGTACACGATCGTAACTGAAGCCCCTTAACTGACTTTTATTACTTTTATTTATCCGTTGTCATTTTATTTTTTGTTTATTTATTTTGTTTTCTTCTCCCTAAAGTTGTGTTATTCTACGTGCTCCGTTTCCTGTTAACACTCATATTTTTTGTCAATTCTGTATAAGCCAGTTATTGTTGTAAATTTTACATACAGATGTGTATTAAGTGTGGGCAGTATGATGGTTGTAGTGTGCGATCAGCCTCCTCTACAGAAGTAATATTTACAATATTACTAATATTTCATGTAATATTTCATTTAGTAAAGGTTTGTTCTACTTATTTCAGCATACAAATGTCTACACTCAAGAAAACACAGAAACACACCGGATAACATTATTTATTTATTTATTAATACATGAATTCATCCATACCTACCTCCATCCATCTATCATCCATTCCTCCATCTATCCATCTACCTATCCATCACTCCATCTATCTATCTATCCCTACATCTATATCCATCCCTCCCTCCCTCCCTCCTTCCTTCCTTCTATATCCAACCATCCATCCCTTCCTCCCCCCATCCATCCCTTCCTTCCCCCATCCATCCCTCCTCCACCCCCCATCCGCCTGAGAACGAGGCTTTTATGCGAACGAAGCCTGAGAACGAGGCTCCCTTTGGAAATTGTAACCAAATAACATGCCTGGAACAAGGCTAGTATATTAATTATCTTTTGTCTCAACCTAAATATGGTTCTGTAAGTGTCATCTCCAAAACCATCAGGACGAAGAGAATCAAGGAAAAGTATCTCCCTTTTAGCTACCAACATAACCTGCAATGGGTATTTTGTTAATATCCATGAAAATAGAACGCACTTAACCCTACCTTTTGAATTTAAAATGTTAAAGGGAAAAAAAAACTCAACACAGAGCAGATAATGATCTGCTTCCTCCGGCTGGCTGCTCCAAGCTGGAAATAGTATGAGATCCTTGGACCTCACGTTTTCCTAACAGTATTGGAACATAATATTATTCAATAATCATATACTTCTGTACCTGTTTCCAAAAGAGTTTCTTGGTTGATGAGTATATGATAGTAAAAAACACTTGCAGGCAAACAAAGCACTGGGTCCACATTTTTGTCTTTCCAGGTGGGCACCACATAGAGGTCCACAATGTGAACGTCTTTTCCCTTATGGAAAGAACATTATAAGTTACTGAACACGCATACATTAAAATAAATACTTTTTAAAAGAAGATATAATAGTATGAGGTACATGTCTTTGTGCAGCTTCTTCCACAATCTTGAGGCAAGCATTTCCGATCTGGAATTAATTGAAAAAAAGATTACATCCCAGTGAAAGCTGCCTTGTGGAACATTATGCATTATCTGGGAATTTCGTTTTTTTGTGCTGTAAACTAAGATTAAACATACGCACATTAGATTCCATGCACTGGCTCCAGAAGTCTTCTCGGGTGAGGCAAAATTTGCCTTGCTTTACGATCAGTTCTCCTGACGGACGATTTTTGTCTAGTACATACTTTAACTAAAAACAAAGAGCATTTGACATGATTAAGTAATGGCTATTTAAATATGCAAAGTTTTACTAAATAGACAGAATGCTTACCAGTTCATCTTGAATAGGGCCCAAGTCCTTCTCCCACTTTGCTCCTGAACAAGCATATGGATGCTCTATCTGCCACTCAAATGTTGAGTAACAGTGGTCCTGGAGAATCATCCTCTCAGTTGGTCCATCTGATGATCCACAAATACGTGACAATTAGTAACAAAATACATTTTGTGGAATTTTGTACAAAGATTATCGAACACTATTACTTTTCAATCTGTAGTATGTCTTCAGTCTTGACACATTGACCCTCTGGCAAGTTGACCCTTTCGCAATAGTAGCCACCCCTTTGGAAGTGATGCTGGCCACAGTAAATGGTCCTTTGTGTTGACTCGTAAACGTGTCTCCTGTCCGTCGTTTTTTGGGGTCCCCCGAGAGCAGAACATCATCACCAGCCTGAACAGAACATACTCGCACAAACTTCCGCTTGCGATTTTGAAATGCATTTTGTTGCATTCCCTGTGCGTGCTCTATGTTGTGAAGAACCTACAAAAAAATTAATTACATTCTCCACATCTCTATAGTGTCACAGTGACATTAGTTACAAATAAAGCAGAATCATAGAAAAAAAAATACAGATCAGCCTCTGCCTAGGTCTAATTCTGAGAAATTCACCACTTCATTAACCTTTATTACTCAAAAACAAACCGTTTCATTGAGAAGTTTCATCTTATTGACTCTAGTGTCGATGTCATCTTCTAGGTCAGTAACTTCAAAATCATCTCCCATGGGACAGGCGTTCATGACCTCTGGCAGACGTGGGTGTCGATGGAAGAGTAGAAAGTATGGACTGTGTCTAGTGGAGTACTGATCACATAGGAAGCTTCCTATTCATCAATTCAGTTTTCCCGTCGACATCTAACAGTAGATATAAGAAATATAATAAGTAAACGTGTTAAGACCTGCTTTGCAGTGTTGATACCGTACACCACAGCAGGAAGGTGGAGGTCCCAGTCATTGTGGTTGTCATTAACATACTTTCTGAGAGCACGCTTGATGTTCTGATTGGTTCTTTCATCCTGTACATATCAATGCATTTATAAAGTTGATGAATAACCAGCCCAGGCTCATATGGACCATATGGAGCTGGTTAAGTGATGCAAACTTCAGAATTTATTAGTTTAAAAATCATGCACTATGGTAAAAAGGGTTTTGAGGTCATAACATAATATTGTACAAGGAGCCACGTGAAAACAAGTCATTTGATCCATAATCTGCCCTTGTATTCATAATTGTGTATAAACATGATTAAAAGTGCTTGCTATTTTACTGCCTCTAGTGTTAATTTCTTTTGGAAACTGCAGTGACATGTATAAATATTGCCACAGAAACGTTTTTCTAATGAGCCTGTGTTGTGAATAACCGTAAGACAACAATAGTTCTTCCAGGACAGATATCCTGTATAAGAGTTACCTGTCCGTTGGTCTGGGGATGGTAAGCACTGGAGACAGCATGTTTAATCTTCAGCGTACTGAAAATGCTGCTGTTGAGCTGCAGAGGGATCATCAGTTAAATTTGCAAGACTAGAGTAATTGCAGACAACAACATATATGTTGAGAGTGACTAGAGTAAGGGGAAAACAATTGAACCTTTACAAAACTTCACCTTGTTGACAAACTCCTTCCCTTGGTCGGTAATTATTTTTCTCACCGTGCCAAACAAGTACAACTTTTTGATTATTTTTGCAGACACCTCAGCTGCTGTCTTAGATTGCAAGGGCGCTGCAATGACCCACTTAGTGTACAGGTCTGTCATGGTAAGGACATACTTCTTGTTGCGTGCCGTTTCTGGCAGTGGTCCAATCAGATCCAAACCAAGCACCTCCCAAGCTTCTTTTACCTGCATGCCACAAAATTAGTATTAGTCAAATGCTGGTAAAACTGTACACAAGCTTGAGACTAGCTTGTTAGTTTCATCAGTATGCTAAAACATTGTAAGCAGTACCGTAATGGAATGCAAGACTGGCACAATAGTCTTGATTGGGTCATTCAACTGGCAGCGGTGACAAGATCTTACCTAAAAAGCAACACATTTTTTTAACAAATTGTCTAGAAAAATAGCCAGTTGATGAGAGGCGTTATTAACATTAAGTGACATGGCATCTGTAGCTTTAATATGTTAAGTCCATATGCTACTGCAGTTGATACAAGTTTGTGATAATACAGTAGTCAACATTTGAAGTGGATAAAGACCTTTCATTAAAGTTATATATGACTTTTGAACAATACCCGTTCTTGTCTTAGGACAACTTTGATTAACTTTTTTGATCCACTTCAAATATAACTTTTAAATCGAGGAGGTATCTAACAATCAAAGGTGGCAAAAGTAGACACATTCTTAAGTATAGATATAAGATATCCATTAAGTATGTAAAATTACCCATTCTTTCACATCCTTGATAATCGTAGACCAATAGTAGCCAGCAATAACCCGGTTTTGAGTGCCTCTGACACCACTATGATTGCCAGTCCCAGGGTTATTGTGGCACTCCATGAGAACAGACCTCTTCTTTTCCTCTGACAGGACAACTAGCCGCATATACTGCATACTGGGGCCGATGTAGCAGAGTCTGTCGTCTGTTTTAAAAGGAAAAAAAAAAACGTCTGAAAGAGTTGAAGTTCAAAGTAAATAGAAAAATATCATATTACTATCTGATATCTGACAGGTTTAACTACATTAAAGTCACTTATTAATACCCAGATATGAGAGCTGAACAAGTAGTTAAAATAACTTGATATTTTAAACAAATTTGTCTATTTAGCACATGAGGTTGTTGATTGAGATTCGATACATATCATGATACTGAACTCACGATACGATATTATTGTGATACTCCCAAGAAATATTATAAAAGGTTAACACAAAATGCACTGTTAATTAAAATGCTAACTTTGATATTACATTGTGGGTTTAAATGAATAGGCTTGGACTTGGTGCTTGTAACCCAAGGACAATGGTGCCACCAGAATAAAAATATTCATGATTCTGAAGCTGAAAATACTGAATTATTTTAGTCACCTTTATTTATATAGCGCTTACTACAATACAGATTGTATCAAAGCGCTTCACAGTGATTTAGACGAATATGCTTTTAGACGAATATGCTTTACATAAGACGTTTGGCATTATAAGGACCCACAAACATTCCCCCATTGCATTATTATACATTATAATCAACATTATATAGTAGTTTAATGTAGTACTTAAACAAAAACTCTGAAAACATCAATTTTTTCCCTCACACAGTAATTTTTATTTTGAGTGAACTATCCACGATACATATTGTCACTATCCACGATACGTATTGGTGCATTTGTGTAACGTTACGATATGTTGTGGCACGATATATTGTTACACAACACAATTGAACTAAGGCCTAACTTAATTCTGGATTAGTCTAAGCCTTGTCATAGTTACCTTTGATGATAAAATTCGCAGACGACCGTTTCACTTTGCGACGCTCTTCGTGATTGTCAGGCATTTCTCCTTTTAAGAGAAATTCTTGAACTTTCACATAAAAGGCAAAAGAATCCATGTTTTTTCGCACATGTAGGACAGTACAGTACAAATCGTGACAGTACAGTATGTATACAGATCGAGTAGTGACAGTGACGTTGTCGTAAAAACATTGACGATGACAGGAAGTGGCAGAAAAACATCGTTCTCGCACATGCGCAGTACAGATCGTGTTTCCGGTACGGATCGAGTAGCGACAGTGAATTATCGGGTTACTCGGTGTGAATAGTCCGGGCGTAGGACCCCATTAGTATGCCAGTAGTATGCCTGATCTGAATCTGTTCTTGCGATAACTTGTAGCTAACGTGAGCTGTTTTAGTGTTATTATGTGGTAGCTTTATGTAGAATGCTAACTCCCGTTGCTATATGCAAGGTAAGATTAAATTAAATTGCATATTGTATATGTAAATTGTGTATATTCTATATCTAATATTTAAAATCTCAAGTTGCGTCAATAGCAGAGGAGAAAGACCGCGAAATTTAAAAATACTACTGTTATTGTGTATGAAATGTAGTTTTAAGAGTTTTTCAGTCGACAATGTAGTTGCTTCAATCTCAAATATGTTGTTTGTTTATACAGATAGCGCCTATTTAAAATTATGATCTGACGTTTTCGGAGATGTCGTTTTCGGACGCTCAGCGCTCAAGTACCCCGCCTGGACCAGCCCACCTCGGCTAGTCCAACCATTCCTTCTTTCCTAGGAGACTCTTGTAGATAAAAACATATTGCAGCATCAAGCAATATCTAATGAATCATATCACAGTTAAATTGTCCAAATTTTGATTTTAGATTGGGAGAAAAATCTGATTAATCATCTGTCCACTGTAGTGGACCTCATGCATCAATGGCTATATTTCAGCTACAGTTCATACTTATACTGTGAATATTCTTATTGAAAATACTTAATCTGCAGTGACATTTATGTAAATAAATGTATTTGTATTATTAGAATGTAACGTGCTTACATAATGTATGTGACTTGTATTGCATTGTATTACTTTACTTTTAAATGAGTAATAAATGAGAAGAGTTGTAAATGAGAGATAACTTCTTAATGAGTTTGTCTTATATAAAAGCCCTTAAAGTGATGAAAAAAGAATGCAATAAATATTGTTTGCATTAAAGAAGCATACGATTTACAAAACAAAAACCCATCCAAGCCCCTTTAATCTTTCAATCTTTTTTGTTTAATACTGATTATTATTTTTCTTGTTTTATTTGTATTTCTTTTATGCACCTGTTCTTTATATTCTAATGCAAAGATGTAATGATATTGCCATGCCGTTTTTTACATCACAAAAAAAACGTATTAGAGATAACGTTTTTTCACCAATACAATATTTTTGCACACATCGAAAGGGCAATATATATGTTACACAGGTTTTTAAAAAACTATTTACGCGACTCGTCAATACAATATTGTCATTTTTAAAGACACTTGAAAATCACCAATGAGAATGTCTCATCACTTTTTTTTTTTAATGTGGGACTATATATACGATTGCCATGTTTCACAGGTCCCTTTCGTCAGAAATTCGACAAAGTATCTCTGCGAAAATTTAATCTTTGGACATCTGTGCATCTCTCTGGACAGTTTCATCTCTGTGACCAAACATCTCTGGACAATTTCATCTCTGCGACCAATACATTTACCTTACTTAATTCAAAAATACAATTTAATTATCAATTTAACTTTACATTAATTATTGTTT